CTGCAAAAGTTGTTGAGGCACTTAATACTGGAGAGCTATCTGATGGGCAAGGCTTCAATCAAGAAACTAATCTTAAATGTGTTGGTGATACACATTGAGGTTCACACTATGGTACTTTAGTCAGCTTGGCTGATATGTTTTCAACAGTAATTGATGTGCTTGAAATGATTTCGGAGGATAGTTCAGATTTAAAACAACGAGCAGAATCAAATGTATTGTTAGACTCAATTCAATTATTTGAGTTTATATTCAACCTTCATTTGATGAAAACGATATTGGCTATTACAAGTGAGTTATCGCAATAACTACAAAGGAAAGATCAAGATATTGTTAATGCCATGAATATAGTTCAAATTTCTAAAGTACAGCTCCAAAAGATGAGGGAGACTGGGTAGACATCTTTACTTGATGATACTTTGTCTTTTTGTGAAAAGCATGAAATTGAATGGATGATATATTTGTAGCTTGAGGGAGAAAAAGGAGCAATGCTCAAGAAATTACAAACTTACATCACTATCGTGCTGAGTTATTCTACATTGTTTTGGATATGCAAATTCAAGAACTAAATGCTCGTTTCACTGAGTCGAACACTGAGTTGTTACTTTGTGTGGCATGTTTGAATCCATCTAACTCTTTCTCTAGTTTTGACAAGAAAAAGTTAATTCATCTTGCCGAATTTTATCCCAAAGAATTTTCTTCAATGGAGCTCATGGTACTTAATGATCAACTTGATACATATATTATCGATATTCTATCTGTACGAGCACGAAATAATCTTCTCGTATAATCCTGTTGATCAAGTTTGCGCTCCTTCAAACGTCGTCGCTTTACTCCCTGAAAACACAAATGTGAGTTAGTCGGCGGGTGTGTGCCGGATACCTCTCTGATGCCTAAGTCAGCAAAATAGACAAATAGACAAAAGCTCTGTGTATTCGAGAATCAAAGTTGTGATACCTATACATAGGTCCCTGTTATGAGCTTTTATAGATTCCATGTGACGCAATCCTAGTAAGACTCTTACTCCTCAATGTAGAGTTCTCCTAGGAATCACCTCTCTAAGAGATAATGCTTATCCCTTAACACCCTTCTCACTGCTTTAACCAAGTGGAATAGTTTTACCTCGGTTGTATGTCAAAACGACCGAGCTGACACTGCTTTGCTGAAGTACTAGACTTAACCGAGCTTTACATAACTCGGTTTCCACCTTATCCTTCTAATACAACTCCTTGAACCTCGGTTTTAGCATACTCAAACCGAGCTATCTCAAACAATCAGACCGAGCTAACTAGGCCCAATTGGGAAGTCCAATCTACTCGGCCCATAGCTCGGCTCACTTCTTCCCATACCTAGCTCGACCCAAATTTACACATTTTACCCTCTCACTATCCAATAGTGAGTTCTCAAGATTGAATAGAATTGTTGATGTTGCTAAGAAAATGGTGGAGACCGAAAGAGACAAAATATATCCATTGGTGTATTTGCACTTGACTTTAGCATTAATCTTACCTGTTGCAACTGCTACTGTTGAGAGGGTATTTTCAGCTATAAATATTGTGAAGAATCGGTTGCGGAACCGAATAGGTGATGAATGGATGAATGATAGCTTGGTTGTCTACATTGAGAGAGATATTTTTTATGGCATTGACAATGATATGGAAAGATTTCAAAAGATAAAAATTCGTTGGGGTAAATTGTAAAAGTTTAAAATTTAAAACTTTTTGTAATGAATATTAATTTTTAATGTTTAATATTAGCTTGAAAAATTATTATTATGTTATTGTTATTGGTTGGGGAAGAAAAATTTTGAAATTATAATTAAAATGTGCCCCCTATATTAAATTCCTGATTCCGCCACTGTTTTGACCCATTTTGGCGCAAAGATCCGCTAACAAAGGCCTCACCTAATTAAAAAATTGAAATATTGAAGTTTGGAGAAAATCGTGTCTAAAAGGGTGGATAGGTTAAAAATTAAAAATAAATTCAATTTAAAAATGTCCTTGCTGATAAATGCAGCTTTTCAATATATACTAACTCTTCAGCAGAGGCTCTGTTGAAATATTATTCCAATTACACAGCAACAAGTTTATGTACTTACACGTATAAAATATCAAAAAGCCTACGAACCACCAAAAAAAAAAAAAAAATCTCGGAAATTTACTTAGAAATTCAAATGTACAGTGAAGATTTGATTTTGTTGTTTTGGAGTCAACCATGAATGATCTTGGCTGTAAATTATAAATTGTGGATGACTTTCTGATTTTATTTCTATATCTATGTATGCTTGTTTCCTTTGGAAATTTTGCTGAGGACATTGTATACAAAGCTGTCGACCTGGTCTTTATTCCTCTCGTACAGAACTGGCAGTGTGTGTGAAGCAACAAAACCTGCAACCCAAAAAAAAAAACCAAATAAATAAATAAAATATCATAATAATAGTTAAGGCTATGTTTGGTATATACTACTACAGAATAGCTCAATAGCATATCCCAAACATGATACTAGATCTACTTTGAACCATCATGCATGCACTTGAAGCTTCCACTAAGCTTCATTACACGTTTGAGCAACGATCACTAACATATAAGGGTATCAGTGATCACAATTTTTCCAATCCAAAAAGTAAAAAATTTGTTGCAAAAAATATTAGGAGACTGTTTTTAAAACCTTGGTATTGATGAAGCTTGCTCAATTATTTAAACCAAAAATTTCCCCAATTTGATGCCATCCCCCATAACATATACAAAACATTATTCTAAGAGTTTCACCAACTGATTGCAAATGCTTAAACATACTATCAAGTGCACATCCAGTAACCAGTCTAGAGCTTATATCATAACAAAATAATTTCACTAGAAATAGTATGATGTCTCACCAATATACAGGACAGTCAAAAAGTTGCACCATCTTGCAATCACAGCAGCAGCCCACAGGCTTGCTACAACCAGGAGGGATTTCCCAAGGGTCAATTCAGTTACCTCCATGAAGTTACAGGCAAAGATGACACTCTTGTAATAGTATATTCTCAACATTGATATCTTAACATCATGAAAACACTGCATGTTTGGTAAAGCAACTTCAAGCTGAGAAAAATATTTCAAAACGAGTAAATTTGAAGAATTAGTATTACATTTTGAGAATGAAAGAAAAGAAAAATCTAGCGAACTACATATACAGGGCTTTCCACATGCATATGAATATGGGAGAAACGGGATTCAGAAATTCAAAAAAAATATATATATATATATATATTGGAAGACCAACTATGATGGAGGAAAATGATGAAGGATTGTGATGAGGACAGACAAATTGGAAGAAAGAAGATACAATAATCAGTCATCGTAATTCCAGTCCTTCCATGAATTGTTGATGGAATCTCACACAACACTAATTGTGAAGGTATTGACAGTTACAAGGTTTTCAACAAAAAGAAAAGCAAAAAAAATAAATAATTCAATGGCAATGCAGTTGTAAGATGTTGAGAAGAGACCACACTTGAACAATAAACTATGATGGTAAAGGGAAAAAGAGATGGTAAATAATTCTCTGTTTTAACCATGCATCCTCCTCATGTGTAGTGTTCCAGAATTTGGAGTGGCAACTTTCAACAATATCCAAATAGGTTTAGAGGGCGAGTCATATGGGTTTGCAAGCATATGCATGACACCAACTGAAGCAAAGAAAATAAAAAAAATGGATGTATTCAAACATACCCCTAGGAACTGCTTAATATTTCCTCTACATGCCACATCTTGAAAAGACCCGAAAGCTAGGTTGATCACAACACCAACTGACTTGGCAATGTTGACAAATAATTCATCAGGTAGAACAAGATGAGGGGGTTCAGATGGAGACCTGTTACCAATAGAAACATTACTATAAATTTGGTGTTTAAGCACAACTGCATACAGCATTTGAATGATTGAGAAATTGGGAGCACAAAATACTTTCATATAGCTGAATCACCTGTTTAGTAAACTTGGAGCGTTTGACCAAAGATACTAAGCTAGAATGCCAAGCATCAAAGCATAGCATAGGAGAGAGAAAAAACAGCCATAAAGCAATCTGAAGACCAACCAGATAACTGTAATAGCAGCTAAAACATCTGTAGAAATCGTTTTGTTGCTCCATAACAGCCCATCAGCAGCTACAGATTGAAACCAACACTTAATAAGAGCGAACACATGATGGTGAACAGAAAAGGAAAGGAAACATAAGGCATAAATATCCTACATTTTCCACTCCCCAAAAGATTGAGGATTAGCTTCTGGCTATTGTCGACTGGCTGCTGCTTTGAAACACTATCAGCCGTTATTTCCTCTGACATTTTTCCTAATCTTAAAAAAGTAGAGTGAAACTATCACTATAGAATCAACTTTAAAGCTCCCAGAAAAAACAAAAACAAAAACAAAAAACCATTTAATTCTTGAAAATAGATTTTTCCTAATCTTAAAAAAGGAGAGTGAAACTATCACTATAGAATCAACTTTAAAGCTCCCAGAAAAAACAAAAAAAAAAAAAACCCATTTAATTCTTGAAAATAGACAATGCTCGTTAACTAAATTTAAGGGTTTTAGTTCAAGACAATAACAACAGTGTACAACACCAGAAATGTTGTTAGTAAGACTGTTCAAAAGCAAAATAACTGTTTTTTTCCCCCCCTTTTAGATAGTAAAAGCAAAATAACTAAGCAGGTGGTTTTTAACAATTTTTCTAAGAAGAAACCCAACTAGGGGCACTCACCTTATGCTCTGTGTTTGGAGCATTTGGATAGTGATTCGGAAAGGGGAGGGGAAAGGGAAAAGATGGGTGAATTGGGAAGCGAAGGGAAAATGTGTATGAAACTAGATGAAATGTAATTATATTTTATTCACATTTCAAACATCTTTTCCCTTTCCCTTCTCAAATCCATACTCAAAACAAAGCCTTAATCTGTACACACAAGTTTACCAATAGCACTCACAATCAAACTATTGGATAGAAATTCAATTGTTCAACTTTAAACAACATATCCCAAAAAAAAATGTAGAAACCATTGCATTTGAACTCTTCCATAAATAAAACATAAAGAGTTAAAATAAAACTAAAAAAAATAAGGCTTAACAACTTCCATGGCTGATCTTACTATCTCTGTGATAAATGATGGCAACAAAATCTGATGAAGACTAGGAAATATTTCAAGAATTTTGTTAGAACAAATGTTTAAAAGAATTTGAGAGTCAAACCCCCAATACTGTTTAGACACTTGATCATGAACATCAATATACATTGTTGGACACCTATTTGCAGAGATAATTACAAAGCAAAATTTTACTAGCTAACACGATCGACGAGAGGTAAGTCGTCCACGCATGCGAAACGAGGCCGCGGGTATGTGCGAGGTAATGTTTAATACTCCTCACATTTAAAAATTACATATCTTTTTTTTAAAATTTGTAATCTTATTATAAATTATTTCTTGAATAGTTCATGTCATATTTTAAAAAATTTTAAATGACCATCTTATCTTTTTGTTACTATATCTTTTTTCTATCATTATGACTATATTTTACAACTTTTTATTATTAAATTTTACTAAAATATATTTTTATTATTAAGTGATGATAGACAAACATAAATTTTATATAGAATTTTCAAACACAATAATATAATTTAATGGTGACATTTTCACTTTAAAACAAAACACTCATAAACATAATTTATATTTACAACAATATCACTGTCACAATATTTTTATGATATTTTTTTTATAAGTTTTTATATATGAATATAATTTTTCATTTTTATTTCCACTATTATACCTAGACTAGATCAATTTAATCTAAATATATTTAAAAAGTATAAAATTTGTACAAAATTTAAAAAAAAAAATTATTGAATACAATAAAATAAGATAATGTATTGAATTTTTTTTTTTGGTGAATTTAAAAAAAAATCACAAAATAGTATACTTTTTAAGTATATTTAGATTAGGTGTATCTAAAAAATAAAAAATTGCCTAAAATATTAAAAAATTTCAATAAAAATTTAAAAAAAAAAAAGCTCATTTTTTTGTGAGAGTTAAACCAAAAAAAAAAAAATGATTGTTATTTTCCTTAAAATGACATGAACAAAATATTTATATTATTTTATATGTATAAAGACTAAAGGACAAATATGCCATTTTAATCTAAAAAGGGGTAAGTGTAATTTTTCAAATGTGAAGGAGATTTGTATTAAACAGAAATCAGGAAATTCTATTTCCACACATCTAATTACCTCAGTATACATATTTAATGAAATATTATTTAAATGGCAATTATACTCTAAATTAAAATGATCATAATTGACATCCACTAGCACCTATAATATTATATGAAAATATTCTCTGTACATATCTTTTAAAAACAAAAAATAAAAAGACCTCAATGTACACCTTTCAAATATAAAAAAAGAAAAACTAAACCCTAATTTTTTCATTGTTGTCACTTTTTGCTTACTACACTCTATACTCTTCTATTGCTTATAAAGCAATACTCTCATATTGCTTTAATCTAGATTTATACTCTATTAGTGATGAACATGTTAGTTTTTTCGTGTAGAACTTCTTTTTTTTTTTTCCCTTCTGCGGTTTTTAGTCGGACAATCAATGCCGAATTATTTTATTATATTCGAATATCAACTGTTGAATTATTTCATTTTATTCGGTCATCTACTATCAAAAGTTATTTTATTTTTTTTCAAAACAAATTTGTCGAACTAATCACTTTTATTTGGAAGTTAAGTTTTGAATTAAATGTATAATTTCAAAAAACCAGTGCTAAAATCCCCAAACCGAAAAACATAATTAAAAATAATAATAAGAAATGAGGGTTTTATGGTAATGGAGTGCACAGAGATTTGGAAATGGTAAATGTAATAACAAAATGGAAAGATGCCTTATCTTCAACAATATTTTGGAGGATTTTTAATGGAGGTTTAATAGAGTCTTCAATTGAGGTATTTAATGGAGGACTCTGTCTTCACTTTACTTCACATTGTAGTCTTGAATGGTCTTCACATGAGTCTACAATGAGTCTACAAATCTAGAAGCAGGGTCTCCTAACAAGTGTGTGGAAAGGAGGGTTGAGTGATATATGTACAATGATTATGAGTGAAAGGTATAATTGTAAATTTTAGTGTGTGGATTAAGAAAATTTGGCTATGTTTTATGTTTCTCAACAATGATTCTACACTCAAGTTTGAGTGCGGCGTTTGTTTATGGCTTTCAAAACACATTTCCACACTCGCATTTGAAAAATCGTGTAGGACATTCGGCCGGTTGACCAAAACAATGTTCTTGAATTTTTTTTTTTTTTTCACTTGTTATTTTTATATGTTAAATAAAAAATATTTTCAATTTTTATTTTTATTTTTTATGAGTTTTGAATAGAATTTTTGGTTGTGTTTGGTTATAAGTTGTAAGTTTTTGTATAAAAATTATGTCACATCACTCAATTCAAAAACTCTTTTCAAAACTCTTTTCAAAAGTCATTCACCAAACAAATTTTCAATACTCAAATCATAATTCCAAAACTCACAAACTCAAAATACAACTCATATTCTCAAATCATATTTATAAAACTCTACCAAACACAACCTTAATTAATAAGCATGTGTACTGAGAGAAGATGTGCATTGAGATAATTAAGTGTGTGACAATAGAATTTCTCACAAAAATCTTAGAGGGTTGTCAGTGTAATTTATCCTAATTATTAATATTTATAATTTTTATTATTATTTATGTATTTTTTTTCTAACATCACTATTACATTATTTCCCTGATTAAATTGGTTCCAAAACAATCAAGGCCTATACTGCAGCTCATGGGTTCCATTTTAAAATTTTAACCATTTATTTTGTAAGCTTTTCAGTATATATTATTAATGAAAAAATTAAGTCGATTCAATAATTGTAATATTTTTATTTTATTACGATTGAATAAACTTAATTTATTTTTATTTTTTTATAAATGATATATTAGACTCCTTTTACAAAATGAACAATTTAAAATATTAAAATGAGATTTGTGATGGATTTCCTGAAATTTTCTCAAGTTCACCATCTAGGGAAACAAGTGTGAACTGTTCCCCTTTGGAAATTGGAAGTGATTAACCTCACAAAGGAAGTTAGAGGTAATTCATTTGAAGGGGTTTCAAATAAAGAGAAAGAAATTGAAGGAGATATGTAATCTAAATGGGCTAGCTCTTTGAGGATCTTCACATTCTAAAAGGGCTACTTCAAACCCTTTTAGATGGTTACATTTGTTCAAGAGATGAGAACAAAGAAAAAACTTCTTACGAGTGTTGTAAATCTTTAAGCTTAATAGACAGAATAGTTACTTTATTAAGTCTAAAAAATATGGTAGGCGTTGTCTTTTCATTTTGCATTTTTTTTTAATAATTAGGAATCGTGTCCTAGGTAGGATTTTTGGACCTAAATTTAAAGATTAAATGACACCCCCTAATCACATGATCCAAACAAATAGAAGGGGCCGACAATAGTTGAACTTGAGTTGGGAATGTAGAGAAGATACTCACTGACCAACTGGCTAAGCTTGGCCCAACTTTTAGGATGCGAGAGTTTTCTTTTAGTATTAAGCCTTTGATTTGAATGCTTTACTTTATGACTTGCTCCGTCATTTTTCTTATTCCCTTTAAGAGCATATCAAACATTACTGTAACATCTATTTTTTTAGTATATTAACCCACTCGCTAATATGCACAAAAAAGGGAAAAAAAAATTTGCTATCATGTCAATTCACCAATTTTATAATACATGAGTGAAAATGCTAAATCTCATGTACTTAGAAATGTTGAGCACCCGAGCCTGAATATTCAAATTTTTGTAACAGCAATGATACATCTATTTAAATCAATGAGTTCTAATGACATGGAAAGTCAAAAAAAAAAAAATAATAATAATAATAATAATATACAAGATACAAACATCACTATCACAGTGGGATCCACATCCCATTAGAACTATTAGAACTCCTCCAAAACATTTTTGTTTTTATAAACACATCAAATGAAATTCAAACCATGATTAATCTTTGGTACTTTTGAAGAACTAATAACAAGCATATGCATAGATTATACTAAAAAATTCACATACAAAGAAAGATGAATATGGAGACAAAGTGAGAGAATAGAAAAACTCTGGGTGAAATCAATTTAAGCCTAAATCTACCCATATACTTCAAATCCAGGTCTGCCAGAAATTTTCAAGAATTATTATTTAAAAATAAAAATAAATAAAAATAAAAAAACAGAAACCATAATTTCACAAATGGAACTGAAATCAACA